TTTTTGTTGACCTTTATACATTTTGTGGCTCTGCATTTGCACCAGTTCAATTGCAGAGTAAGTGAATTTCCATCCCTTTTCTAGCTCTGCTCAAAGGCCTGAGTCTTTGGAGTGGCAAATGGTGAAACACATTCCCAGGTTCTAGGTGGGCAGATTTGGAGAACTTCAAATCGGTCATGTGGGGCTGCAGGAGCCCACACATCCTTGTCTCCAGAGCCCCTGCCCTGCTGCCCCCTCCCTCTCGTTGAGCTCAACTGGTGCCTTGAGAGGGCTGGCATGAGGACGAGGCATTGCTGGACAAGGAGAGGGGATGAGTTGGGCTCCAGGTCAAGTGCAAGGAGCCCATTGTTCGCTGTGGCCGGGCATGAGCCTCACTGCAGCTGGGCTTGGCGCAGGGTGAAGGCAGCTGGGTGTCCCATGCGGGGCGATGGTGGTCGGTGGGGAATGCCCAGGGCCTGGGCAGGTCCAGAGCCCCAGTGGGAGGGCAGGAGCACCACTCCCAAAGGAGAACTTGGCATTGGCAGAGAAGCCTGCTGGTGGAGGTCCTTCATCTTTGTGCCATGTGTGAGGCCAGAGAGGTGACAGGTCCTTGGGAAGCAAGTCTTTTCTGTTCTTTGTGATGATTAGTAAATTATTTCCACCCTCGCAGCTCTGCTTTGCCTGAAAGTACATAATATTGTATAATTTCCCCCAAATTGCTCCCATGGTGATAATGGGGGAGTTTTCTCCCTGGGCGCCTCAGTGAGATGTTTGTGTTGGGAATTGCATGTTATACACTGTTAATGAATAGAGGCAGGAATTTAGTAACTTAAGAGTTTAGTAACGTGCAGGGTGTCTTGGGATGAAAGGTTTTCCCTTTCAGCTCCTCCACTTCAGTGTTTGCATTTACTGAAAGCTTTGCATGGGTTCGTATAGTACTACAAAGGAAGATCGTATGGCTGAAATCTAGATATTCATGACAGATGAACATGATTTACCTCACGTTTACCTGGGGATTATTGCATCATTTCAAGTAATCCAAGGAAAATGGTACCAAGTTAACACACTGCAAGATACGTTATTTACCTACATTTGAGATTGGTGCAAATAATTTCCTTCTGTGTATTTTTGATGTGATGCTAAGTTATTCAGCTCAAATTAATGACTAATCTCTGGCTTTCGGTTTTTCCATAAAATGCTAAATAACTATTATCACTCATTAAACAGGAAACAGCTTGCACTGTATATGTAGACCTACCACCACATGCCTTAAATCTGTTATAAAATGGAATACCTAAGTTACAGTGGTGTAAAATAGGAGAAAAATATTTTTTGCTGGATCTCTGTGGAAGATAGGAAGTGAGTAAGAGTGAAGTAATTAAGATAACTTTAAAGTCCTACTTTTAGTCCTGTCATAATAATCTTGTTTCTAGCTGAACAAAGTCATCCTCTGGATTGCTTTTTAAACCGTATTTCATATTGTTTTTTGCTTCCTGTCATAATATTGTCTTTCCGGTGAAACAACTGTCCTCGACAAGTCTGCCAAGCGGAAAATCAATTTGGTCTTTTGTTGACCCCTATTTTGTTCTGGTTTAGCATTTCATTTTCATTTAACAGTATATTATTTTCAATAACAAATGTTTCTTTCTTTAACCAACTATTGCCACTTTTTCCCTAGTAGGCATAAGCTGCTGTCAGGGCTCACCTCAGCTGCTGGAGCAGCTGTGAGGATGCCCTGCTGATCCCAGGGAAAAGCTGGAGCTGGGAAATTTAAGATGTCATGAAAATAGCTGAGGATGATGTTTTGAGAGAACTATTCCTGTAATTTGTTGGAATTGGGGAAGTGAAATATGCGATTCTGGCAACAGTGACAGATTTATAGACTCAGTACACTAATTAAAAAGCAACTTACTCTAATATATTAATCTAGGAAATGACAGCACCAGAGCGAGCTGTTCTGTTTTGTGCATAAGCATGGGAACGCTGAAGTGCCCTTCTCCTGTAATGACAGGATTTTATATTGTATGCAAAATTCTAGAATAATGTTAAACAAGAAGCAATTGAAGGATTGCTTCCTTCTGGTGTGACACATATGGGGAGATGTTTTGCTATAAAGTGTATGTTCATGAGAACAGAAAGAAACAAAAAGTTTTCATTTGTTCTTTACCTTCTCTTTTCGTTGCTGGTTTTTGTTTCTGTGGCTGTGGTAGAATTCAGCTAAGAATCTAGAACAGAAAATCAAATTAAGCATTACTTAATCGTTTCTACAACTACTTCTAAATAAATTTTTGCTCATATCAGTGTAACGTCTTGGGATTTTCATGCTTTGAGATTTATCTGTGGAATTCCTTTCTAGAAAAGTTTTTTGCCTTTGGTAAGTGGTACAGCTTCCTTGCATCCTACCCCAATAATCTCAGTAGGTGGGGCCATGAGGAAAGAAAAAGAACATATTTCTGATGTGCATATAAAACACCTCTGATATTACAACTGTGTATTCCTACTTCAGCAATGAATTAGAAAGATGTCTTGGTAGATGACAATTAAATGAAAATAACTGAATAATTTTTGTTTTTTGCAAACATCACTTTAGTTTGTTTATGAATGTAGGAAATTAGAACTTAAATTCTACATGTGTAACAAAATACTAAGTCTGTGTAAAACAAAGGAATAATAATGCTCTTCAGGAGGAATGTGAAGCTTCAAAAAACCCAAAATTAAAAGTTTTGTAGATGTTTAAGGTTATAGTAGTTGAATGTCTTATAGATTTATTTATTTATTTGCTTTCTCTCTCTAAACTTTCTTTTTATCCCCCCCCCCCCCCCCCATGCAAAATGACATGCAGATCTGAGGACTCCAAATGGTCACTGTACTTAATAGGTAGGAGCTGGAAGACCTAAAAATTGAATCAGTGTCTATTTTCCTCTCTTACCTTCTTGGAAAGTTTTTTTTTTTTTTTTGTTTTCTCTCCTAACCTTTTTTTTTTCCCCCCCCCCCCCCCAAACTGAATGGATAATATGTCCTAGAATATTCTCCTTACAGGCATTTAAATGTCTGCTGAAGTTCCTAAGGCTGCAATTTGCTTGTAATCTTCCATCTGTTTCAAATTTATTGTAAACACATGCAGTCAGATCTTCAGCTCTATAAAAGCATCACATGAAGTCAGTGGAGCTACACGGAATGTCTTCAGATGAGATTCTTCCTTGTGATATGTGTATCTCCACTTTTCCTGAACCCAAACTTATTTTCATCATAAAACGACAATTTTTTCATCATTCGGTTCATAAATCCCTGCCCATGTCAGAAGGGTTGGAACCAGGAGATCTTTAAAGACGCTTCCAACCCAAAGTATTCTATCGTTCTATGATATATAAAAATAGGGTAAAGGCTGGCACTGGCAATTCAGAATGTCCTCATGGAGGCACCAAAGAAACCATGGCAGATGATTTCATTACCACCAGTGGTGTGTATTTTGTACCTTCGATATCAGTCTTCATGGTCTTACACAAGTTGTAAGATTTGTATTGCTGTCAAGCTATATAAAATCCTGGTGTCAGGTTCTTAACACTTGGCAATTAATAACACTCCTCATCTTCTATTAAAAAGAAAAAAAAAAGGCACTCAGATTGCTTTTAATAGATTTCCATAGAAAGAATACAGGACTTGTACAGCTGAGTTACTGTTCTCACTAATAATTGGATGTTTAACACCACCTTGCCGTGAAACCTAAGTCAATTAATCTGTTTCTTTTCTTTGCAAGTGTAAAATAGGATAGCAGTTCACAACCACGTTCATAAAACTCTAAATTAAAAGCACCATGTGTCTCTTTCCTGTAAAGGCTACATAAGAAATCTTGCATGGTTAATATCTTATTTTTAAATCATAAGCTTTTCATTCAGTGAGAGCTCATGCTCTCTGTATCCGAAAATGATGCACATAAGCTGCCACTACTGGTCAGGAATGAATACTGAAGTAAAATGAAAATAAAGAATTATATAGCATACTGTATATAGTTTTGGTACAGTAATAATTATGATGTATATAAATCTAGAATGCAAATTTTAAAAATAAATTTACATACAGCAACTTGGCAAAAATAGACCAATGAAAATGTTTGTAAGTGTAGTGCTAACAAAATAGATTATTGTGTTGCCTATTTCTGATAGATGTTGTTAAAATAAGAGGCACCTGACCTTAAGCTGTATAAAATGTTATGAATGCTGTAAAAGCCTAAGACAAACATTAGGAACAAGTCTCATAGCAAATTGACAGTACAGCTGTGTCACGCAATGCACCTACCAGTTACAGATTATGAAACCAGTGTTTGAATTGACTTCCATTTAAGTCCTTTAATGAGAACTCTGTTGGCTTGCTGGTTGTCCCTGGAGTCTCATCAGGTTAATTTTACACCAGACATCAATGGGCCATGTGCTCTGAATGGAGCACGGTCAGGAGTGAGCCCATGAACACTAGTGAACCTGGGGACGATAAATCTACTCCTGCAGAGTTTGACAGCTCCCACCAGGTCCAATAAACCTGTGGAAATGAGGTATCCCTCAGACATTAGATCTGGAAGTACAGAGCTTTTTCATATGTATACAACATGTGCATTGCAATTTATTTCTATTGTAACTGAAAATTGGTATGAATTTACTGGGTCCTATTCCTAATAAGTTTGATCAAACTAAAGCTATCTGCTGGAGATGAGTTTTTTAACAGTGGGTGGCTGTCTCTAGGGAGCTTCCTCAGTGTGTACTGCTTTGAGTTGTTGTCTTCAAGTGATCAAGCACTCAGAAATTTCCTACTTAAATATCTGTTTGTTACTTTTTGGCAAATATTTTAATTAGCTGCGGTATTTACTTATGATCAGTGTTACTTGTTGATGATGTGACTATAAGGCATAGAAAGTTATTTGACTGCAGCAGAAGTTGCATGGTAGACTGAAGAGAGAATAAAGATTAGAGATTCTCTTCCCTTCAGACTTGTACAGAAGCAATAATCTTTCACTGTCTTTGGTATTCTAGGATGTGATGTCCACGTTCTTCCAGTTTGGGGCTTCCATCCAGCAAGAAGCCATCGTCATGCTGAAGATCATGCAGGATTATGACTGGCATGTGTTCTCTCTGGTAACCACCACCTTCCCTGGATATCGAGACTTCATCAATGTCATTAAGACCACAGTGGAAAATAGTTTCGTGGGCTGGGACATGCAGAATGTCATTATACTTGATACTGCCTTTGGAGATGCCAAGACCCAAATTCAGCTGAAGAAAATTCATTCATCTGTCATCCTGCTATATTGTTCCAAGGATGAAGCTGTCTACATACTGGATGAGGCTCGTTCCCTGGGCCTTACTGGCTATGATTTCTTTTGGATAGTTCCCAGCCTGGTTAGTGGTAACACAGAAATCACTCCCAAGGAGTTTCCTTCAGGACTCATTTCAGCAGCTTATGATGAATGGGACTACAGTTTAGAAGCTCGAGTACGGGATGGCCTTGGGATTATTGCCACAGCTGCATCAGCCATGCTGGAAAAATACTCCTTCATTCCTGAAGCAAAAACTAGCTGCTATGGACAACCGGAGAAAAATGACCGGCCGTCTCACACCTTGCACAAGTAAGGTTTAATGGTTTGGGGGCTTTTTATTGTGTAACCTTGGTAATTTTTCTTTCTATTGCCATTATATGTTCTTGAAGGAGAATACTGTTTTTTGTTAATCCCATCATGCCCTTTTTAAGCAATGATTTTCAGAGGGAACATGAAAGAAGACTTGCTGCATCGGTAACTGTGCATGGAAATTCTGTTATGTGCTGGGGAGAATAAATACTGCTCTGGATCTGATATAGAAGATGACAGAAATTGGTCTTAGAGGGTATAAAGCTGAGCTAATAAAATCATGCCATTGTGTACTTTACCTGTGAGGTAAAATTGCCAAAATGCTCCAGAGGCTGTACCTGAATGACTTGCATCAGCAGGAACCTGGTAAGAGTTTAGAAGACAGGAGATGTACAGCATTAAAGAGGTGTCCCTGGAAATTATAGAAGTATTAGATTAGTTAGGCAGCTTTTATCATCTAATAACTGAAATCTGTCACTTCTGCTTGTGAGGATTTTATTTTTGTCACCTGAACTAGAATAGCTGTAAAAATTAATCTGCATTAATAATCCAAGTTGATATGGATGTTTTCTCAATACAGTTTGTCATATGGGAACTGCCAAGGTTTAAATCGTGATTCTTTGCACTTTCTTTTTTGCCTTTTAATTATCTCTTTTAGACAGGATACTCCTGATTACTGCTATCCAAGTTGTTGCATAATATGTGCCACACAGTAATAAATTCCTTTATCTGGTTTATGAGAGGAAGTAAAGGGAATCTTGCATGTTTTTTAATAGCTCTTTACAATATCTCACATGGAGGCTACTAAGCAGTATTTATGAAATTTGTTCTAACCAAATATTGCAGATGAAGCGCTTCTTATAGAAAAGCAAGATGGAATTGGCACAAGAAGGAAAGTCAGTGCAGATTTCATATAGGAGATTGTGGAACATTTTTAATCTTCTAAAATGTACGTGCGTATTTAGATTAGGGGTTGATTGCCATATGATGTCCTGGAACAGTTGTTTTCCATGAAAATGGGATCTTTGTGCACAGCATTCTTGAGACTGTCTCTTAAAAGCCAAATACAACCAAGTAAACGGATTTTAACATTTCATACGTGTATTTCATAGACAGTGTGACCAAATTTCAGAAACTTGCACAGTTTTACTCAGAGAGGACTTGTCTTTAGTATAACACTTCCACATTTTTTTGTCTCCCCTTTCCTGTTCCTAAGCCTCTGCCTCAAAAACTGTATAAATTTACCAGAGGTGTTGCAGAAAACCTGTGATTCTTTTCCTGCTGCCCCACCTGCCCATGGGTTCTGACAGGAGGCAGGACCCCTATCCGATTGTTTTGCTAATACACTGGCATAGACTTGAATTAGGTATTCAGTATTCAGCAGAAGTTGTCTTTCTTCAAACAATCTTTTTTTTTTCTCATTAAATCTGTATTACTACAAGGATAGGGCTTGTGAGTGCTAGGGCAGTGAGATTAGACTTCACCAGGAGATTCTGCAGTGTGCAGCACACGATGCACAGAGAAATTATTAATAGGAGAGGTTGTAATGTAGTGCACTGTGGTTAATAAAGTCACCTCCCAATGCAAAACACTGAGCTATGAAGTGAGAATGTATTTCCTGTACCAGAGATTCTCTGAGCTTCTTCAACACCACAAGAACAAGAAGCAGGCTGTTTTTAATTTAGAAATGTCAGAATTACACTAAAATGAACAAACTTTAAATAGTTCTTCTTATGTAATAACTCCCCAAGACTATTCTTGTCACATATAATCTGCAAGAAAAGCAAGTATATACAAGCATTTAGCAGTGCTAAGTAATCTCTGGGAGCTGACCAGTCTCTCCATGCCAAGGTGAATTATGTAAATTCCTTGCTCTTTCCTATCCTTATCAGTAAATTGTAGGTTCCTTCCTTACATCAATGCTTAAAATCAATGCATAAATTGGGGTTTTATTTTGAGATGTAATCTTTACCATTTCAGGTCACAGCGCAGCTTTGTATTTTAAACTACAAGATAAATGTAAATGATGCTGTATTAAGGAGATAACTTGAACAATGGATTTTAGAGCATCCTCACAACAAAAGGGGCTAAAGTGATTGTAGGCAGCTTATGGATCTGGAATCTGCTGCACTGTGCCTCCCTGTTTGTGCTGGAAATCAATGCTGGAGAAGTAGGATTACACGAAGGGACACTGCTTGTGAGCTCAGGAGCATAGAACTCAGTGGAAAGCAAAGAGGCTCTGTGCTTGAGCAAAACCAAGCTAGAGAATGGAGCACAAAATAGACTCCATCTATTTATAATGACAGTCTAATTCAACTTTAAACCCAGTAGAATATTCCAAGGCTACGCCATAATAGCTGATCTGCTTGTAAAGGGAGGTTGGTTATGCTTTATGTGCGACTTTCTGCATGTAGATAGTGATTTTCATCTCCATTTATGAAGAAATTCTATGTAAAGAAAGCCATGGGGTGAAAGCTCCTCCTCCCTCTTTCTCAAATCCTTTGAATATTAAATTGGTTTGAAGATACATGTTTTGAAGCACACAATTTATCCTTCCTCTGTCACTGCAATTTTAAGATGCTTTTATTGGCTTTGTAGACCTAGAAGAAAAAACAGGTTTGCTTTAGTTTTTGGAATTATTTGATCAATGTTCAGTACTGATACATATGGGAAAACTAGTTTTTCCCTATGAATAAAGGATTTAAAATAAAATACAGGGATAATTTTCAATGCATTAAAAATATACACATAAATAGATAGATATATGGTTTTCCCATCTGTGTAAAACCCAGATTCTCCCTAGACAGAAAAATAGCATTGTATAAAATCCTGGTACTAGCACAGCAGGATAGATAGAATTAGCAGCTCATTAATGCAATGTCAGTGGAACAAATGCTTGCTCTCACTCAAAAAAGGAAAACATGTAAGCAAACAAACAGCCAAACAAAATAACCCTGCCAGTCGTCATGGAAAATGCTGCTGCTTTGTGAATAGAAATGCTTCTGCTTTGTCTAGAAGAGTGCTCATGTTGTGTATAAAAGTCATAACCCTGGGAGATCCGTTTCACAACAGCATTTCCAAATGCTCTGATCTGTACAGGGGTGGATGGGGATGACACAGCTCTTGCTCTATTGTCATTATCCTGAAAAGCAAAAAGATGTGTCTCTCCATAGGTAGTCAGGCATCTACCACACCGTGCTTACATTTAATTACATTCAGGTTCCAAATACAACCAATAACTGTCAGGAATTAGAGGCTCATCCTACTTTCGGTGGTGAAGGTGTAGGGGTAGCAGGCAGTCCGAGCTGATCTGGGCAGGCTGTCCCTTCACACCCTTTCCAAGCAGTTTCTTTTAGTTGTCATCACCCAGCCAGAGAGCAGGAGCAACGTGAGGTCCAAAGGGCCAGGTACAAATGCATTAGTTGATCCTGCCCTGAATCACCCTTCCTTAAATACTTGGGGGCTCGGTGGGAACAGTGTTCTGAAACAAGCTACCCAATGTTGCTGTCTTTCCGTGCCCTACCTTGAGGTTCATTTTGTTCTCCTTGCTGGACTATGAGACAGCGTCATCTTCAGAGGGCCAGGTCATATTGTCTCTCTTGTCTTGATATTCATTCAGCAAGTTCAGTATTTTAATTCCTGCTTTTAGCAATGACAGATAGATTTTCCTCTTTTTCTTCGTGGCAAAATCAGGTATTAAATGGACACAATGGTTTGATCCAGCAAATCTGTCTCCAAATGAAGACCAAGCTGCCAGTCCTAGATTTAATGTTAAGAACTTATTTCAGACATCCTGGATGACAAGAAATTATTACCCTCAACATGAAAAAATGAATGAGAAAAGATACTCAAGACAAGAAAAAATTTTGTCAGTGGCAGGATCCCACTTAGCCTCAATCATTTGTGTGGAGATGCTCCCTAAACAGGAGACTCAGTAGAGTATTGTCGCAATTAGATTGGTACAGAGACACACAAAGTCTAATTTACTGCTGATGAACAGATTTTAAACAGTCGCAACTCGATATTTGCACTTCCTTTAATCCATGTGCTGTAAGTGCCCTTTTCTATAGTATGAGGGCATTTTCTATATAGTTGCATTAAACAGGAGGAAATGAATTCATGAAACTCTTGTCATGTTCCTCTGAAAGTAAAATTAAACTTTACCAGCAGCAAAAGAGGGGCTGTGGAGGAGGATGCTCCACCAAAGAGATTCCGACGCGGTGCTGGTTTACTGATGAAGTGATTCAAGAAAATATAGAGAATCTGTGTCAGAATTTTCTCCCAGGTTAGGTCAGTTTAGGAAGCAGAAGGTACCAAACAGTTACCATATTAAGGGCTTTTAGAACATTTACCCCTTTTTGCGATAAATATAAAAATTTTAAAAGGAGAGAACAAGCATGGTCTGCGTTCTGGAACTGAGCCAGCCTTCAGGGCTGAAAGAAAGCCTTAACATTCAAAATGTAAGTGAAAGTTCTTGGACATGGAGTTGCTGCAGACACCATCCCCTTGAACGAAGCCAGGCAGGTTCATGGGAAGAGCTTGGGCTATTTCTGAACTGGTGCAGCAAGAAGTGATCACATTAGTGCTTTTTATGAAATGTTATTTTTAACAAGAACATTAACTCACTAAACCTCCTGGTGTTTTATGAGTTACGTTAGTCTGCAGCACCCTCCCAGGCATCTGGGCCCTTTCTGATTTTGCTTCCCCCCCCTTTCAGAATGGGTCCCCAAGAGTTTTGTCACTTGTCTGGCAGAGTTGGGGCAAAATTACTTTTCCAGACCTAGTGGCAACTAATGCTTTAAGGAGCAGCTGGCAGGAGGTACAAGTAGTTGGCATGGCATTCCTTTTTTACAGTCACTGAGCATATTGTTCCCAAAATTTTATTCATCCATGCTGGCTCAAGGCCTAGGGAGATACAGCTCCAAAGCAGGGTATCGTCACGGAGTTTTATTCAGGAGAGCGAGGGCTGGGGGAAGTGGAGGAGGAGGAGGAGGAGGCAC